TTACCTGTTGATATATAAATTTGTTACCTTAAAATAAGTCAAATTTATCAAAATTGGATTACAGAATGCTGAAGCATTGAAGTCGGTAAAAAAAAAAGTGTAAAATTGTAACAATCTTTAAATGTAAATATCTCAATATCTACTGGTCTGATTCCTATCAAATTTGATATACAGATTTGGTAAGTTCTAATCTTTTAAACAAGCATAAAATCAATCACTTTTTTTATAGATACAATAATGTTTTTATTTATTAAGTATAATCATAATCAGTATAAATATACATGAAAATCCTCTAAGAAGGTATAAAAGTAAAAAAAATAAAAAAAGCTGTCTAATAAAACAAAAAGTTTAAGAGAACTCAAATTTTATCAGACTAACTGATTCATTTTGTTAGATTTCAGTAATAATCACTAATAGAATTATCATTGTCACCTAACTAAAAGAAAGAAAATATATGAGTTAATTGCTAAAAAAATCAGATTTTAAAAATTTTTTAACAAATTTAAGATTTTATTGCATTTTAGTTTTTAATATTATTATATTAAAATTTATTAAAACTCTTAATTTTAGTCAAAAATTTCTCAGAACTTAATTTTCCTAGAAATACTTCTATATAACAAATAGTTATTACTACGTTAAGAAAAGTGATAAATGATAACTGTGTATATATAAATTTTAATTAAGAATAAATAATCATATTGGAAGTAGTTAAACTCCTTTTTTGCTATATTTGTGAAATACAAAGGATTATCAAAAGTTTTCAAATGCTATTTTTGAAATGTAATTGTTATCTAAAAAAGGTAATGTTTACATACATTTATGATTGTTTTTTATTTATTTTGCTTTAAATAACATTTCTAATTTCAATTTGCCCTTTTCACTTTATTTTTTTTTTGTAACTTACGGCTACAACTAGTGTTGTCATGAGACATTGATGGAACACTGATAGGACGCTGATAGGATATAGATAGGATAGATAGGATAGATAGAACATAGTGTGAAACAGGTTAGGACATATAGCTAGAACAACAAATCTCTGGGACATCAAAAATGTATATCACTGGCTACAACTACAACAATGGGAAAAAATAATAAATTAAATGCAAAGTAACATGATACAATATTTTATTATTGCAAAAATAGTTTCATACAGTAAAATTGCAGATACTGTTGGATGTGACAAAATAACAGTATATAAGACATTGAAAAGGCATGCTGAAACTAGTTCTACTGACTCCAAACCTCACCTTAAATGATCATACCTGATCAACATCATATAACGTAATCATCTTAAATGTTTAGTGATAAATAAAAAAGTACAAAATTGACGATTGTGTGCTTCTGGAATAAAAGAACTTTAAAAAAAAACAAACCAAAATGTTTTAGAAATAACTATCTGTCATACTCTTCACTCACTTGGGCTAATAAGTTGTATCACAAGACGAAAGCCTCTCACTTCACTAGCTAATAAAGAAGCACGACTTGCATGACACTTAGAACATAAAAGATAAATAAAGAATGATTAGGCAAAGGTCTTATAGAGCGATGAATCAACTTTTACTCAATTTCAGCAAAGTCAAACTAGTAGGATATGGAGAGAACTGAAAGACAAATAATCATTCTTTTGTATTTCAGCTACAGTCAAACACAGTTTAAGTCGCATGTTTTGGATTATTTTTCAAGGCAAGGGATGGGATTGATTATATCACTTCATAGATCAGTAACTGGAGTTACACATATTGAAAGTATATTTTATCTATAATAAAATGTATATTTCTAAGAAATAATAATTTATTTCAAGAAGACAATACCAAACTCACAAATTGAAGGTTGCATCATCGTTTTATGCAAAAAAAACTTACACATTCTTTCTTGGCCTGCTCAAAATTCATACTTTAATCTGATTGAAAATTTATGGACAAAGGTGAAAAAAAATATTAAAAATAAAAAGAAAAAACCAACTAACCTTGCTGATCTTGAAAAGGATGTTAAAAATGCATGAAAATTAATTTCAAAATATGTAATTGAAAATTTAGTTGATAGTATGCCAGCACGAATTCAGATGGTAATTATAGCAGAAGGTGACTCAATTAAATACTAGTTTAATAGTATAAAATGTGGCCTTTAGTACCATAAAATAAAGTTATAATAAAGATTTTTTATTGAGTTTTAAAAATTCAACGTTTTATATTGCATAAAAAATTGTTCAGAAACTTTTGATAACTCCCTGTATAAAGAGATTGTTTTCTTAAAACAGTCAGTATATATCTTGATTTTCAGACAAGATTATAAGTTTGATTAAAAAAATTATAAAATGAGGAAAAATATGTGTATAATAGTAGAGAAATTCATAAATAAGTCAATAATTTTTGAAAGAAAAAAGGAATAATTTTTTTGATTTAATTCAGTAAATATTTGTGTTAAAATGAGAAATTTTTAATTACTTTTTTCTTTCTAATAATTTCTTTCTTTCACAAAATTAATAAAAATAATATTGTACAGATTAGCTTTTAGTATTCAAAAGATCAAATTTTTGGTATAGTAGTAATTACACCCTTTCTTTTAGACGTCTGATATTTATATACTAGTTTAATTTAATTTTTTTTTCTTTTCTATTATATAGAATAATTTAGTAAAGTGCAAGATGGTATTGATAAAGTAGTTTAAACTAGTTCATAGATATTTTTGTATTTTTTATTTTATTTATTTCTTATAAATTTAAATATTAATAAAGATCATATAAAACTGTTACACTTTAAATAAAAAAAAAAGCTTTTAGTGTTCAAAAAGAATAAGAAAATAGAAGAAAAACTAAGACTTCAGAAGGAAAATCAGATCAAAAATATAAATGTAAAATTATATTTTTAAATGAAAAAGTAAATTAATAATAATATTTTTATTAATATTATAACAAAAAAACAATCATATATGATTAAATGTTTCATTTGATATATTACATCTGCAGTATTTTTAAGAATTATTATATAAAGATAGTTATGTAGCTTTTAGAAATTCTAATGTAGGTAGTTATTCTAACAAAAATTTTATTCTTCTATAATGTATTCTTGACTCTTTAAATAATGTTATAGTGAGTAATAATGAGGGACAAAATCTCTTAATAACAGTTGAAACTTAGATGAAACTATATTAAAATCATAATAAGAGTTACGACAAAACCCTTTCGATACAATAAAAGCTAAAACTGTCAAAACTATATTAAAAATATAGAAAAGGTATGACAAAATTATTTTGAGGAGGTTTCAGCAAGCATCTATAATAGTGAGAGAACTAAGTTTAGTAAATTAAAAGGTAAGATAATAGTTAATTTCAAATTTGTATATTTTTTATTTCATTTTAATAAGTAATAATCTATAAAGTGTTTAGTTTATAAGAAGTTTTAATTAAAGGGCAAAAGGCAATGAAAATAGACATATGTTTAAAGAAAGAAATGTACTGAAAATAAGGAATATGATTAAAAGTGATTGAAAAAGGGATGAAATGTAAGAAAGATTTAGCTAAACAATCAACTTTATTATTGTATAAATTATTAGAGTACGCAGTAACCTTAATAAGAAAAAGTGTAATATTTCTTTCTTCTATAATTTTAAAAATAATAGACCAATTTATATTAAAAGAAGTTTAAGTATTAATTAGAAATAAATGAAAGTATTTTGTCTTTGAATTTTATTAAAGAAGTGAATAAATATTAAGCTATCTATGCATACATTTAAATCTAAATTATAGAGACAAATTAGAAATACGTATTAGTAAAGTTTAACTAATAATTAGATAACTAGTAGAAAATTCTATGTTTATATTATTATATACTAAAATAAAAGCAGAACTAAGTTATGAAATATAATCAGTATAGTTATATAGAAACCTCTAAAAAATTATCTGTATAAAACAAAAATAAATATTTATTTTTTAGTCTATCTTTAAAGAAGTTAAGTATCAGATAAATAGCAGAAGAATTGATAAGTGTTTTTATAATAATGTATATTAGTATATTGTATGATAATCTATAAGAAACAGTTAGTGCAGAATATACTTTTTAATAGTATTAAATAGTTTGATTAAATATAGCTTTAATATTTTTTTTAAGAGATAAAGTTTTTCTGAGTTAACAGAAAAAAAAATGACATTGATAATGTAAATCAATTAGGGTATGCTGCAACAAAACCAGACAAAGTGAACATTGGTGTTACCAAAGATTTCAGGGTTCAAAATTTAGTCATTATTATCACAATTGCATTGTAATTATGATTTAACAGTCCAATTTGTTACCTTAAGTAATATATAGAATTGTCTCTATATAAAAATAGTTAATATGAAGCTAATTTACATTAGATCTACAATGGAACCCTAAGAATTATAGCACTATTGAAAATATTTTGAAGGTGAAAAAATTGCTCCTTACATTTTTAAATTAGCAGATACTCAGACACTTGAAGTTTATCTAAGAAAAGAAAGGATTACCTATGAATTTACCAAGAATAAATGTTGGAAAAAGAAAACATCATGATGATGTATTATTACCTAATAAAAAGCAAAAATCTTTAATTAGTGATCCCTTTTACAATATTGATTTATTATTTTTTACTGACTATTTCTATATACAAAGAAAATTCTCCTTTATGCAAATGTAATTGAAGAGTGAAGATTATAAAGATGATGAAAACAAAGATGACATAAATATTAATAATAATATTATTGATAATAATGAAAATAGCAATAGTAATAGTAAAAGTCAGAGTGCCTAAAGAATAGGTAATACTTACAATGGCTTTGGGTCCAAGTATTTTCCTCCCATGCAAGTACTTTGACGATTTTAACTTATATTTTATGTATTATTCTATTATTAGTTGAATTAAAATAAAATAAAAAAATAATTCATTTGTCCCAAAAAAAAATTTTTTTAATTCTAAGTCATGTGTCCACTAATTTTATCATTGGTCAAAATCATGCATAAATCATAACAATTACGATCTAAAAAAAAGATGGCAACGATTGAAGAAATACGAAATGAGTTAAATGATGCAAAAGAAAGATTAGGTGAGGCAACGGAGAAGTTAAAGAAGTGGAAGGAGGGGAAGTACAAAGGAAAAAAGTTGGAAGAGTGGGAGATAGAGTTGATTGAGGAAAACTTGAGTGAAGCAAAGAAGACGGAGTTGAAAGAACGAATGGAAAGATTGTACGAAGAAAAAGGAAAGTTGGAAGAAAAGGAAGGTTTTTGGAGAGGACGAGTTGGAAAGTTGCAGGATGCATTGGTGAAATTCGATGGAGGAGAGGAAGGTAATGAACAAATTGCGTAAAAAAATAATTATTTTTCGTTCATTACATTTTATTTATTTTCTTAATTCATTGGATCCATTCACCTTGTTTATAACATTGACTAACTTATTTTTGTATTCTTATATCATTTGCGAAATTGACTTGTGCTTTTATTTTGCTTATTATTTTCTTCTATTTTTTTTTTTTTTTTTTGCCGCATATAGAAAAAAACCATTTGAAAGATGATAAAGCGGATGAAAAGATGGATATATCATCTGATATTGACTTTACCAAACCTAAAGAAGCTTTTTCTATCAATTTTCAGGATAAACAACAAATAGTCAAAGATTTTCTCAATTATGCTGAATTTTGTCATGAACAAGCTTCCTACATGAGTGACTATGTTCCCTACATTGCCATAGTCCAGTCCTCTGGTTATGGAAAATCAAGGCTTATCAAGGAGATTGCAAGGGAAATTCACACATTATATTTGAATTTAGGCATAGGTCAAGATTGTTTTCCACGTCCAACTGAATGTGCAGAGCAAATTATATCTAGCTTTCAATCTTCAAGCGATCCAACAGTTTGGTTTAACAATTTACTGGAAAAAGCAATGTTTTTGATAAAAGAAAAAAGTATGTCTCCAAGTGAGTTATGGAGACAACAAGAAGATGGTGGAAGGATTTTTTGGAAAGATGTATTGGTAGCTGCTGATAGAAATGAACCCATTGGCCGATTTAAATCAGAAAAAAAAACTAAGTCGTCAAATCTACATTTGGAACAACTTGGAAATGATAAATACAACATTAAAATCTTATTTTGCATTGACGAAGGAAGAAAACTAATAGAGATATTGCACAATAATTGGAACATATCTTTATTTCAGTGTTGGAGGCGTGCACTTCAGAACAGTTCATGGAGAAGTTGTGGTGTCTTTTCTGTTATATTAGATACTACATCCCGTGTCTCAAATTTTGCACCATCTAAAAAGGATGACCCAACCTTGAAAACACTTTTAACTTACTATATATTTCCACCATTTATTGACATCTGTACTTTTAATTCTTTAGCCATTGATGAAGGAGATCCTTATGATATTACATTTTCCAGAGGAAGACCATTTTGGAAAGCGATGAAAGATGTATATTTTGAAGAAAGATCTACAATAGATGCTTGGCGCAACGTCATAACACTTGCTAGAGTAAAGCTACAAGGTGGTGGTTCAGTAAACCGGAATCTTGATGTTAACGTTAGGAAGAAAAATCTCATAACAATGGCAGTCATTGCCTCCTTGTGCTCCATCGATATTTCTCCACAAGAACATTTTGCTGGAGACCTCGTTGCTAGCCATCTCGGCACTTGTATCGGAATCTCTACAGACAGAACAAGAATTCTGGTTTCTTATCCTCCGGAACCAGTGATCTCTGAAGCAGCACTTCAACTCTTGGAAAAGGACCTGTTGACAGATTTTGCAGAAACCCTTAAACAGGGGATTGTAGAGCCAGGAAAGCGTGGAGAACTTGTTGGCGAATTGATCCTTCTGTTAACACGAAAGCAAGTAAAACAAAGAGAAAGGAAAAACTTTTATATGGATAGTGTTAGCTTGACAGGTTTTTTAGAAGAGCTGCTTGTTGAGAACATTGTGTTGAAAGAAGAGATCGATGAACACAAGTATTTTAAAACTGCTGAAATTTCTTTCACAAGATTTGTCACTATTGGAAGAGTACCATCTTATTATGACCTTATTGAAGCCTTCAAGACTTGTGTAGCGTTCAATTTGAAACGCAACCACAAAGGAGCTGATATCTTAATTCCAGTCAAAGTCGGAACTCAATATACAGTTTGGCTTATTCAAATCAAAAATCATAACCGACCCTATGGTGATTCCAATATTCAAGTAGATTCAACATCCTATCTTACACCTAATTATGTTCTCGAAGGCAGTAACTTGTGACCCCTCAATATTCCTTACATTGCTATGTACTGGCAGATTGGTGCTCACAAATTGGAAATTCGAGAGGCAAATTGGGGTGTTGGGACACGTTTAACTCCAGATGAAAAACCACGAACGCATTATATAGTCTTTGGTCTTAATTCCTTCAAACAAGGGAAAAGCTGTAACAATGAACTTTGCTCACTTCTTGTTGCATACATTGATCCACATCATAAAATTTGGTCAGAAAGGGTGCTTGATACCAGTAAGTCAGACAAAACATGGTGTCGTGATAGACAAATTCAATCATTTTTACCTTGGGAAGGATTTAAATAAAATTCTTACACATATCATATAATATTTCATGTATTAAGTAAAAGCAATATTATTTTTTTTTTAATTGTTAGTCTATCCATCAAAATAGTAACAATTATCTTCCTGAGAGAGGAGTCTCCTCAGGGTATTCTTGAATTTTAAGACAAATACATCTTATAATCACATTTAGATAATGTAATATATATAAAATAAATAAACCAGTTATCATTATGTATATGATAGATGTTACAATTATGGATTTATTCAAAGAAATTTTATTATATAGGAAAAAATTACTTATTTCATTTCACTCATTAATTAATTAAAAAAATTTACTAATACAAATTACTGACATTGTATTAATATTTATTTCCTAATAAAGATGGCACCGAATCTGAAATGCCGAAATTAGTTTTTATAGTTTCCGAAATTATTGTAGAAATTATTTGAGTACTTTAACTCAATAGCCGAAATGTCAGGTAGTTCTTAATGCAGGTTTATAGGTTTATATGAAAGATATTGCAGTGCTGAAATGTTTGCCAAAATTACTTTTTTTCTAAAAACAATTTCGGAGCCATCTTTATTTCCTAACATATCCTCTTTTACTTTTAGCTGTCCATAAATCAGTTGTAATTGAAATATATTCACATGTACTATTCAGCAAGCGTAAGAATTTCTTTTCGAAAGTTGCAATAAAAATATGTTTTTACGAACAAGTGCTTTAATTATTGTAAGAATACAAGTTAATTTTTATTTCTTAAAAATGTACTGTTTTTATATTAAAATACATAATAAATATATTATTCAAACATAAATAATCTAGTAATTATCTTATTGTTAATAATCTACCTGGAAGATATCAGATATAATAATAATAAATTGATTATCCCAAAAAATTAGTGTCATAATAGAAATTTAATTAGCGAGCAATTAAAATTACATGTAACTTTGTTACAAAACCCCCCAAATGCAAAACTCTACCGAAACTCTAATAAACAATTTGTGTGTAACATATCAAAACCTGCCAATTGATTTCTGGAGGGGTTCTGGTAAGCAACCTTGCTCTCTCCATCCTTCTCTCTCATCTAATGGAGTTACCAATTTGACTTAATGAAACATATTACTCTAGATTTAAATCATCATCAATAATAATGGAGCCAGTTGACCAAATTTCTTTATATTTTTTTCATAACAATAAGTTACTATATTTTAAATCAATTATCAAGTATATACCTAAACTGTTTTTAACAGATTCACTCAAAAATTAATTCTATTTCATCCATTACAAGACCAATCTCTCAACTTCAAAAAACCTACAAAGTGAACATAAAATTATATATAGGGATAAGTGTATATGAAAAATATTAACAAAGGCAATAAATGCAATGGTTCTAATGAATATCAAAAAGCAATTGATTTTTTAGAAAAAGGTTGTGATTGTGGTTGCTCTTTAAGAATTCCCAAGGAAGAATTTGCAGAACTAAGGGAATCCTTTCAAGCTCTTTCTAAATCAGAACAAGACATATTTTAATGGCCCAACTTAAAGCAATGGATGGTGGATTAACAAGCACTAGTAGGCGCCTTAAAAAGAAAACCAGATCTAATAAAAGAACTTTCTATCATTGGGATCACAATACACTCCTTTGTCAAGAAACTTACCTTAATATGTTAGGAATTGGTAAAACTTACTTTGAAAATATTAGAAGTCATCTGATAAAAAATGGTCTTCTAGCAAGAGTTCATGGTAATATTAAAAGGATGCCTCAATGGAAAACTAAAATGGTGATTGACAAAGATGTTGCAGAAATAGTAAAGAATTTTCTAGAAAATTATGCAGAAGTCCATGGATTATCAAGTCCAGGAAGAAGTATCAATAGAATAACTCAATCAATTGTATTCTTACCAGCTGAAATGAGTTATAAATCAGTCCACAAGGATTTTCTAGCTGGTCTGGAAGAAGTTAGTAATTTGAAATCCTTAAAATATGATGCATTTAGAAAGTTATGACATCAATTGACATCAGAAATTCAAATTATGAGTCCAAGGACTGATTTGTGTGATACTTGTCAACATTTTAGAGATGGTTTATATTACAATACTCGTCAGGAGGAAGAAGCCAAAGATCTACTCAAAAGATTTAAAGAACATCTATCTAAGGCAAGATTAAAAAGAAATTATTATAATAAAAATACCAAATTAGCTGAAGAACAAAGAAAATTGATTAATCAAAATTATTCAAAGGGTAAAACACAATATTGTAGTATTGATGCTACTGCTCATTATAGTTATGATTGAATCCAGAATGTTCATATGCCACATTCAGATTAACAAGTAAGTAAGATTTATTACCTTAGTCTACGCAAAGTTCATTTATTTGGTATTCAAGATGAAGCAGTAAGGGAACAAATCAATTATGTTCTTGATGAAAATGAAATTATAGGTAAAGGTCCCAATGGTACACTGAGTATGATTTTTGATGGAATTAAGAAGTTAAACAAGGGTGAAAAGCATTTAAAGATTACTTGTGATAATGCAGGTGGGCAAAATAAAAATAATGTAACAATTTGGTTTTATTTATATTTAGTAATTTGTGGTTATTATGAAAGCATTGAATTAAATTTCATGATTGCTGGACACACTAAATTTAAATGTGATGGTAGTTTTGGATTGATTAAAAAACTTTATAGAAAAACAAGTGTAGATTGTCTAGATCATGTGGTTGAGGTGGTAAAAAAGTCTAGTCCAGCAGGATTGAATAAAACTCAATGTTATGAAGGTGGAAAAGGTTTTCAATATTTAGATATTAAAGCTATTTTGGGAATTTATTTTAAGAAATTACCAAGTATACAGAAATATCAACATTTTCTTTTTGAAGCATCTAATCTTGGTATGGTGAAAGTTTAAGAAGTTGCTAATAAACCTTTTGTTGAGTTCAATTTATTGAAATCCAAGAAAACAGATATCTTTGAAGAAATTAGATCTTTATCAATTTTAGTATTAACACCACCTTCTTTGGATTACAAAAGGCAAGAATATCTTTATCATAATATTCGTCCATTTATTAGAGATAAATTCAAAGATATTACTTGTCCAAAACCAATTTATGCTGACAACAAATAGAAAATTTAAAAATAAACTATATAAAATAATTATATACTTAATAATGCTTTTATAAAAAGAAAGATATTAAGTATTTTTTAACAAAAATCATGGTAAACATTATAAATGAACAACAACAAGCAAATAAAGAATTATTAAATGAAATTGAAACATTGAAAAAGCAATTATCCAATAAAAAACAAGAAATTACTGAATAAAAAAATCTAGGAGAAGTAAGTGAAGAAGAGGAAATTGAATTTAAGCAAGAAGTAATGGAAAGAATTCACCAAATATTAGTAGATATGAGGGAAAGATTTCCTCATTGTAGCAAGAATATTGAACAAGATTTAAGAGAATTGATTAGTAGACCATTAAGAAATCAATTTATGACTATTTGTTTTCAACATAGCCTTATGCACAACTATAAATGGGAAGGTAAAGAAAATCTAAAAAAAGTAGTTGAGAGAATTATTATAGATTACTTTGAAGACACTGAGTTAGCCACTGAATTGAAAAAAGATTGGAAACTATGAAATCAAAAAGCTCATATTTTTTCTAAAATAGAAGAAGGAGGTAATATTTGAGGCAAGCCTGCTAAGGATATAATTCTTAAAGATATTATAGGAAGTAAGATTGAACAAATTAAAGATTTAGAAGCAGAGGTAGAAGAGCTAGAAGAAAGAGTAAAAATAGAACAGGAATAAGTTAAGGAAGTCATAGCAACTGGTGAAAAATGAAGTAAAGCTCAAGCAGAAGACATAAAAGAAAAAAACAAGAAACTCGAGAGTGCTAGTAAAAAGATTTCTCATCTAGAAGCCCAAGTTGAAAAGTTGGAGGAAGAATCAAGTCAAAAGAGCAAAAAAATAGAAAAACTAAGTAAGCAATTAACTGATATTGAAACACAAAATGAAAATCTAAAGAATTCATTCTACTTAGATAATAAACCCTTACCTGCTTTACCTGTAGAAGAGAACAAGTTATCAACTAAACAGAACATTTTTAAGCAATTAAAAACAAAAGCAAAAGTTAAGTTCCAAAAATTACAAAAGTTAATCAAAAGAGAAAAATTTCACAACCAAGAAGTGATTGCTCAAATAGAAGTTAAGTCTAAATAGTGAGTAAATTATAATGAGAGAACTGGAATACACAGTTTTAGAATTGGAAAAAGAAAGTAAAAAAACTTGTGATTTTTGCTCTAAATTTGAAAACAAAAATAATAAATCTGTTCACCAAATAAGATCTCATAGCAAAGTAACTGGAGAATGAATTTCAGATGACATGGTTTGTGAAAGATGTGAAGAAAAGTATTGGGATGATGAATTGTCAAAGTGCAATAGATGTGATAGATTGCAAACTAAGTTAGATTTTGATATGGTTACTGGTAAGAATGTTTGCTACTGTATTAGAAACAATGAAGATTTAGAAGAGAAGGAACTTCCTCTCTTACCTCATGAAGAAATAAGTTAGTCTACTTTTTATGAAAGACAAATAAACTCCCTACAAGAACAACTAAATGAGACTGAAGAAGCCTTAGAAATTGAAAGGGAAGAAGCAGTCAAATTTCAAGAAAAGTCTGAGAAGTAAAGTAAAAGACAAAAGCAAGAATTATTAGACCGAATTAAGCAGTTAGAAGAAGAGAATGATAATCACAAAGAGGAAATCAAAAGGTTAAAGACTCAGTTAGAATAGTTAACTTCTCAACAAGTTGCTTAAATTGAAGTTAAAGAGACTAAAAGATGATCTTGATTGAAAATAAAAGGTAATTAAAAATTAACAAAGTTGAAAAAAAAGTAATTATTTGTTTTATCAAGTTATTCTACCAGTTTTCTTTTTTTTCTTGATTCTTTACTAGAATTCTCTAATACTTTTTGAAAACTCTTTCCTCTTGGTAAATTTCATAGGTGATCTTTTCTTTTCTTAGATAAGCTTTTAGTGTCTGAGTATCATTTATTTTAAAAATATATAGAGCAATTTTTTCACCTTGTTCCTTTTTCAAAATACTTCTAATGGTGCTATAATTCTTGGGTTCCATAGTAGATCTGATATAAATGAGTTTCATATTAACTATTTTTGTCTAGATGAATATCATGATTACATTACATTGGTAATACAATTGTGACGTTAAACAAACAATATTGATCCCTGAAATTCTTGATAATACCAATGTTCAATTTGTCTGGTTTTGTTGCAGCATGCCCAATTTTTACTAAATTATCATATTAAATTAATCTAGTCATATACGAATGAATTATACTACTATTAATATTGAAGAAGCAACCAAAATATTTAATAAAAGTATTCTGTTTTTTTAATGGAGATTTAGGATTGAAAATGAAGTTTTCTGATATATAATATTAAAAATAATTCTATTTTATAATCTTTTATAGAATTTTTCAAATATAGTTTGTTTAGGTAAAGTTATAATAATTTGTATCTGAAGGTGTTCAAAGTAATATCCATTCAACTAATAACGTTAAATCCATTGGTAAAGAAAATTTATATCTAGTTAGAATAAAATTATTTATGATATATTGATCCTTAAGCTTATTAAATTGAATAGGATTAATAAGCACTAAATGTTATAATAACTATTTTGGATGAATATGATCAGTCAAGTTCCAAGAATTTGTTAGAGAGAAAAATCTTTAAGTTTAATTAAGAAATATCTATCACAAATTAATTGATCTAAAAATAGTAATTGTTTTATTCTAAAAGAGCTATTCTAATTTTTCCTTTAAGGTAAAATTGACTAAAAAGAAGTATCATTACCTTTAATCTTGAAATTATCAGATATGTTAGTTGTTTTGTAAAAGAAAAATGAATACTATAAATATAGAGAAATGCTATTTCTAATGAAATTGTTATATTTGATTAGTGCTCTGAGCCAGTTAAGTCGACCTGGATTGTTTAACCTAACTTGAATTTTTTCTCAAGTTGGATTTATTATTTTTATATCACAAAGTTCTAATTCAATAAAACCTATCAGGTCAGGGTCACGTTTTTCCTTTACCTGGGTAACCTGGATGACCTAGATAATCAGTGATCTAATTTTTCACAATATAAATTACATATTAGACTAATTTATATTATGCGACTTAAATTTGTAAACAAATAATATATAATGAGTAAAACTATAGACATTACTAATATAAACATTACTAAAAGTTATAAAAATGATTGTAGAGTAAACTTTTTGAAGAAAAAGTTCTTTTACCAAAACATAAGTTTTCAAGTATATATCATGAAGTTCGTTGTCTTAATTACTCATATGTATTCTTTTACATTTTTTTAAAAGAAAACAGTATATTATGTAGGTTTTTTATATCTTTTTTATTTAAAAATATTTTAGAAGTCATAAAATATAGTTTCACAAAATTGGTGATTCAAATACAACAAATCTTTAGCATCACTTAAAATATCATTACCCTAATAAAAATCCAAAAAAAATAAAGCACTTAATAAATGAAGGATAAAGCATATTAGATGAATTTTTGAATGTAAAGAGAACGTCAACTAATATATATATTATATTATAAACTATTTTTTTTATATTTATCTTTATTAATTTATATTTAATATTCTTTAAGTTTATACAAGAAAACTTTTATAAATTTATTATCAAATAGATAATTACTGATGATCAACCATTCACAATATTTGAAAACAAGTATTTTCAACAAATGATAAAATTTTTAAATTTAAATGCATTAATTCCTTTAGCAGATACATTAAAAAAAAATATAATGAAAATTTTTGAAAAGAAACAAATAAAATGAAAAAATCTTTTCAAGTGAGTTTTAAACATTATATAAAAAATATAAAAGTATTTTTTCAAAAAATATTTATATTACATTATATTTTGACAGAATATACCTAAAAAAATTTTTATTTGTTTTAGATGCATAAACATCTACAAATGGTTATTCTTTTTTAGCAATTACAATACATTAGATTACAAAAGATTGGAAACTTCAAGATAATTTACTTAACTTTATAAATCTTTGTGGTCTCCATTTTGGTGAAAATCTTTATGATGTTTTTATATAAAGTTGTAATGAATTTGGAATTTTATTAAAGGTAAAAAATTTAAAAAAACTTTTTTTTTTTTAAAATTAATTATTTTTTTATAATTATATATTAATAAACAGATTTTCTTTTTAGATTTTTACAATTACAAATAATAATGCTGGAAATAACAATACATTTATAAAGAAATTGAAAATCATATGTCAAGATAATAATATTTCTTTTAATGCTATTAATGCTCATTATTATTGCATTGTTTATATTATGAATATATCTGTATAAGAAATTTAAATAAAATTAAAGTAAGAGAAATACAAAGTAAAGATGATATATTAAATAATATAGATATAAATTTAAATATTGAAGAAATAATTCCAAAAGTATATTTATTTTTTTTATTAATTATTATTTAATTTAATTTTATTATTATATTAATTATTATTTTTAATTAATTAGCTTCATAAACTTATAGTTAAAATACGATCTTCACCATAACGACGAGATCATTTTACACGTCATGCTGAAGCAGCAGGTCATAAAAATCTTAATCTTATTTTAGATATTAAGACAAGATGGAATTCAACTCATGATATGCTTAATAGAGCTTTTGAAA